ACCCCACGCCACATAACACACAACACACCACGCCACACAACACCACACCACTCAACACAATACCACACAACACAGCACCACACCACACAAATGACTGTAATGGCTGAGAATATCAATGTAGCAGCGCTAGGCTTGCTTTTCTCAACATGCTGACCCCAGCTGTCAGGACGCTATGGCTCTGTTCTCTCCCCGTTAGAAAGTGTCCTTTACCCCAAAGAAGTGAAAATGAGAATTGAGACAGACACATGTACACCGGTGTTCACAGCAGCACTATTCACAACAGACAAAAGTAGAATCAACTCAAGGGTCCGTCAGGTGATGAATGTATAAACGAAATGTGGTATATCATAGAATGGATTATTAGTCAGCCATCAAAAAGAAATGAGGTACTGATCCGTGCTGTCTACGACGGGGATGACCCTTGACGACATTATGCTGAGTGAAGGAAACCAGTCACAAAAGACTACAAGCTATGAGTCTATTCATATAAGACGTCCAGGAAAAGCAAATCTACAGATGGAAAGTAATTCAGTGCATGGTTAGGGCTCAGTGTGTGTGTGTGTGGGCAGTAATCACTAAAGGATGTGGACTGTCCTTTTGGGGTGATAAAAATGTCCTAAAATTGACCGTGATGATGTTTGCACACCTCTGTGAATATACCAAACACCATTGAACTGTACACTTTAACTGGGTGAATTATATGGTATGTGAATATCTCAATAAAGATCTCAAATGAAACTTAATGGATAAGATGAAGGTTTACCAAAGAAATTCCTCTTTGAACAATCACTTTAATGAACAGGTTGATCCCCTCTTGATCAAATTTTAGGCTCTGACTGAATACCAGGAGACGTGGTAGAATCTCTTTTTGTAAAGGTTCTGCCTCTAAATTAGCCAACGTTTTCTCAAAATTACCTCAGCTCTTTTGCTTAAAGAAATAAAACATTATAAATATAGCTCCAGTCCCCTGCCCTATTCCATCCCCTTCTCTCCTACCGTAGAGGTAAGCACTACCTAGGATTTTGTGTAGGAGAATACATCCAGGGTGGTGTCTTCACAGAACAGGATCTTGTAACTTTAGGATTAACTACAGCACCATGTATTAACATGAGCAATCTTGAAAAGAACGTTGCATAAAACAGCAAGTTGCAAAATGATGTGTTTGGTATATTATTTACGAAAGTTTAAGAGTGTATAAATGGCACTATTCGGTTCTGGGGGGGTTATATGGGTGCTTAAAGTAGAAAAGGAAATTCCAGCTATTCTGAGGCTCCACTCCTCGCCTTCTGTCTGTGGCCCCTGTTATTGACTGAGCTGTGTCCCCCCAAAATATGTATTAAAATCCTAACCCCTGTACCTGTAAATATGACTCTGTTTGGAAATAGGTTTTTTTTTTATTATGTTAATGAGGTCATCAGGGTAGAGTGAGTCCCAAACCTAATTCCCCCTGAGTTATGAAAAGAACAGAATAGACACACACACGAGGGAAGGGGAAGACAAGTGAATAAGACAGATACATCTACAAAGGTTGCCAGCAGCGACTGGAAGCTGACCTCAACAAGGAAGGACCTCCCTATTGTCACTCCCCATACTCAGACTTCTAGCCTCCTGACCTGTGAGAACATTAATCTTGGTTTTTTAAAGCTACCCACTTGCGATATTTTGTTACAGCAGCACTCGGTGACTAAGACAGTCCCAACTCACAGGATGGTCTGAAGACAACCACCTGACAGCTCTGGACGCAAGTCACTGACATGACCAGACTTGGCGTGATGATTTCCGTGACAAGCAAATCCACATGTCATGTGCTTGGGGAATGGATTCACAAACCTTGGTACCTCCAGACAATGGAGCGTTACTCAGTGATTAAAAAAAAAAAAAAAAGCGCTCTCAAGCCACAAAAAGACATGGAGGAACCTTACATACATACTGCTGAGGGAGAGAAGCCAGTCTCAAAATGCTACATTCTGGATGATTCCCAACTATATGACTTTCTGGAAAAGGGAAAACCATGGAGACAGAGAAGAGATCAAGGGTTGCCAGGGGTTGGGGGAAGGATGAAGTAGGGAGCACAGGGCATTTTTTGGGCAGTGAAACGATTTCGCATGATACTGTGATGGTAGGTACGTGACATCGTGCTTTTGTCAAAACCCAGGGGACTGGACAATGTGCGAGCCCTGATGTAAACTACCACTTCACTTAACAATCATGTATCGAAATTTGTTCATCAATTGCAACAAATGCAGGGCAGGAAAGCAAGATGTTAATAACAGGGAAATCATGTAGGGGGGCAGGAGGTATATGGGGACTCTCTCTACTTTTGCTGTTCTAAAAAATAAAGTCTAGTAATTAAACAAAAAACTGGAATTAAACATACTTCCAAAATTAAAAATAAAATGGCCACCATGGTGTGGGAGAGAGTAAGGGAGACCCTTCATTCTTGCTTTCTGGATAATTTTAGGGATCCCCCCACCAATTATCTGCATCCAGATGTTAACTGGGCAAAGATAACAGTAGGTAAGACGGAGAGTTGCAAACGATTTCAAGCAGTAATTTAGTTTCTTCTCTGATATTTTGAAAAAGACTCAGAAAACATCTCAGTAGAAAGAGTGAATTAATATGTCTGTATACATGTATATAGTGGAGCCCTGGTGGCACGGTGGTTAAGAGCTCGGCTGCTAACCAAATGGTTGGCAGTTCCAATCCATCAGCCGCTCCTTGGAAAGCCTATACGGCAGTTCTACTCTGCCCTATAGGGTCACTATGCGTCAGAATCAACTTGACGGCATCAGGTTTGGTTTTGGTATGTGTATATTTAATGCACCCTTTGAAAGAAAGCTCTATACCCAACAATGAATGTTTTCCATGGAATGGGCGATGTTCTTTATTATCGGAAGATGTGCATTTCCTTGAAAATAATTTCCACTCTACAAGCTGGATGAATTAAAAACACACTACATGTGAGTTCTGATTTAACAGAGAACACACTCACATTCAATGTCACAGTCACCTATTTTGTTTTATATATGAGTCATCAATGTGGAAATTAGATAAACCCAAATCAAGAAAGGTCTATCAAATAACAAATACATAGACCCTTTGTCCCAGCAATTGCACTTCTGGGAATTTCTCCTACAGATGTTGTCATGGATTGAATTCTGTCCCCCCAAAATGTCTGTCAACTTGGCTGGGTCATGATTCCCAGTATTGTATGACTGTCTACTGTTTTGTAATCTGATGTGATTTCCTTATGTGTTGTAAACTCAATCACTATGACCTAATCAGATGGATTAGCGGTAGTTATACTGATGAGGTTTACAAGATTAGATAGGATCTTAAGCCAATCTGTTTTGAGATATAAAAGAGAGAAGCGAGCAGAGACACATGGGAACCTCACACCACCAAGAAAGCAGTGTCAGGAGCAGAGCGTGTCCTTTGGATCTGAGATTCCTGCACTGAGATGCTCCCAGACCAAGGGAAGACTGATGCATCACAAGGACCTTCCTCCAGAGCCGACAGAGAAAGAAAGCCACCTCCTGGAGCTGATGCCCTGAATTTGGACTTGTAGCCTACTGGACTGTGAGAGAATAAACTTCTCTTTGTTAAAGCCATCCACTTGTGGTATTTCTGTTATAGCAGCTCTTGATGACTCAGACAGATGTGCTGGCATGTTTGCAGCATGGGGTGTTAGAGCAAAAGGTGGGAAGAAATGAATGTCTGTCAAGAAGAGGCTGGTGGGATGATGGTGACTCCATGCAAAGGCACGCCGACTGCAGTGGTGGCGAGGGGTAGGAGGAGCTCAGGTACCAATGGGAAGTCAGAATGCCGCAGCGTGCTGCCTGAGAGTAACCACGGTGAAAAAGAGGGGTTAAGAATGCACATACGTATTTGCTTTTCTATGCAAAAACTCTCGGAAAGATCAACAAGAAACTCAAGACTAGTAGCCTTGGAGAAAGAGCGTGATTGTCTGGTGAACGTGTGTGTGCGCGCGCGCGCGTGCGCATGCATGTGTGTGTGTGAAGGGGATGGGGAAGACTTTTGCTAGATACCCTTTTGTACTTCCTGAATTTTGATCCATTTGAATGTATTATCTGCTAATGCATTTAAGTAAATACAATTTAAATATTAAGAAATAAGGGATTCTCACCACCGGCTGCCCTGACAGGGATCACAACAGAGGGTCCCAGACAAAGCTGGAGAAAAATGTAGGACAAATTCAAACTCACAAAAAAGACCAGACTTTCTAGCCTGACAGAGACCAGAGAAACCCCGAGAGTATGGCTCCTGGACACCCTTTTAATTCAGTAATGAAGTCACTCCTGAGGTTCACCCTTCAGCCAAAGATTAGACAGCCCCATAAAACAAAACAAGACTAATGGGGCATACCAGCCCAGGGGCAAGGACAAGAAGGCAGGAGGGGACAGGAAAGCTGGTAATGGAGAACCCAAGGTTGAGAAGGGAGAGGGTTGACATGTCATGGGGTTGGCAACCAATGTCACCAAACAATATGTGTATTAATTGTTTAATGAGAAACTAATCGTCTCTGTAAACCTTCATCTAACGTACAATTAAAAAAAAAGTAAGGGGCTCTGCAGGTAACATTGTTAAAATTCCTTACTGGAGCTGATTGAAACACACACACACACACACACACACACGCACGCATGCACAGGAGAATATCAAAAGCCGTTCCACATGTTATCTTAACCACACTACTCAACCTCAAAAACTCCTTAGTTGATTTAAGAAAATGGTGATAAATACATTACAGCTAAAATAAAGAAAGGAGCAATGTTTAAACAGTGAATATGTGTTGTTTTCAAACGTACATGTTCTCCCAGGAAGCATCAAGGTTATGCTGTAGGGCTGGCTGAGATCAAGAGCAAAGGCAGCGGGTCCCAGGACATGTGCTAGTGTGTGGCCGGCACAGAGGCAGGGCACCAAGGGGGCCACCAGCCTTGCTGAGAAATCCTCCCAGCCAGGACCAACTACACCCCTTATGCATATGGCCATAATTTTGGAAATGAGAAGGTAACAGGAAAACCATCCTCTCCAAGCATGGCCCTGAAGGAAAGATTACTGTCAAGTGGAACACTATCATTTCCCAGCATTCTCTGCCAGCTCCATGGCTGAAAAAACAGTGCAGTGTGTCCACATGTAAAAGTGAGGGTGTCCACAGTCCTCATTGGGTATGGTATGGATTGAGTTGTGTCCCCAGAAAGATATGCTACAGCCCTAATGCCCAGCACCTGTGATGTCACCTTGTGTGGAAATAGGTTCTTTGAAAATATCATCAGTTAAGTAAGGACAGGTACTGGCAGCTCAGTGGTTAGGAGTTCGGCTGCTAACCGAAAGGTTGGCCGTTCGACACCACCAGTCACTCCTCGGCAGAAAAATGCAGCAGCCTGCTTGCATAAAGATTACAGCCTTGGAAACCCTATGGGGTAGTTCTACTCTGTCCTATAGGGTCGCTATGAGTAGGAATCAACTTGATGGCAACAGGTTTGGTTTTTAAATATCACCTTGTGTAGAAATAGGGTCTTTGAAGACGTTATCAGTTAAAATAACAGGAGGTCATATCAGAGCAGGGTGGGTCCTAATTCTATATAGGTGGTGTCCTTATAAAAAAGGAGAAGGGTGGATTACTTAATAAGCAAGGTAAGCACAGGCTTACTTGTGCTTGCTTACTAGTCTGTAGTGAACAATTTCACATGGGTTCCACTACAGATTAGTAAGTAAGCACAAGTAAGCCCATGCTTACCTTGCTTTACTGGGTCATCCGTCCCTGTGAGGGATTGGAAATTTGAAAAGAGGGTTTGATTCTGTAGGAAGGTGCTGTGGGGTTGGGAGAGAGACAAATGTCAGCCATACCGAGAGGCACAATCTTGGATGTGATGAAAAACTGTGAAATTGCTCATGACAGATGATCTGGTAAGCAAGGTAAG